CGGAAAAACCAACAGTGTTATAGGGGGGTCGACTTGTATATGATAACATAACGGCGTGGGTCAAAGAGTTAATCATTGTAAATACTACGTTGATGCCTTATTCAAGCACTTAGTTAGTTTGCAAAAATTGTTCAAAATGGCACCCTTTCTTTGTTTAATACTCAAATTATAGTACACAAAGTGTTGACTATTTTGCAAAAAACAGTTAACTGACTTTTGGACACCGTACTTATAGAGAGTCAGACTGGCGATTAATTATATAATTAATAAAAAGCCAAAATGTCACGAGCAATTATTTATTGTGACATGGTCACAATGCTGGGCTGAAAATTTTAATTTATTTAATTTAAAATATATGCTCTCCACCTTAAATTAGTAGTGGCTTGCCCCCGTACATCATACTTTTCCTTTAATAATGGAGTCGTGTTGGTCATCTATTCGGGGGGGAAAATACTTGAATTGAAATAACGTGACGTCCGGTTTACGTCAGAAGCTCTTATATAGTTATCGGGGTCTCCTGCCCTCAAGGTTTCCATATCTGGTATCGTCTTTCGTCTATCTATCTCCTGTATCGAGATTAAGGAAAGACGGACAGACGGACGACAGTGGGAATTTATGTCTACAATTTTTTTCAAATTGCAGCCCAATTATTAAAGTTTACACATTTCCTCGAGTTTATATATGGCAGCGATTATAATGAAAACGTTGTATAAGATACAATTAAAATGCAAAGAGTGTATACGTTAAATAAAAGAAACAAGTAAAAATGCTTACGAAACAAAACAGAGTTGTTTATGAAGAGAAATTCTCTTAGTCAAGGTCGCTGTTGAGTGATCTTTTTTACCATTGATTGTTTATCTCTAAAAGAACCGTTAAATAAAATGATTACAATTACAATGTATCTTCGTTATTTTCTGTTTAGAACACAAATTCTCGAAAAAACGTTACATTTATTTTTATTTGAATCTGTATCAACAGAAACAGAAAGGCTCTAACCCGTTGTGTACAGTATAATCATTATAGTACTGTAATATGTTTATATTATAATACTATCCTATAATGATTATACTGTACACAACGGGTGTGAAAAAAAGCAGGTAGACCTATACAGTTGTCAATCTGAGAAATACAAATGTTTGGTGTTCCTTGTTTGTGATTTAATTTATTAATAAATAAATAAAACAGCAACGAATTGCTTAACTTTCCCAGCAAATTTGATGGCGCCATCTCTTATCATGTTTTATTTTTATATTTTTTTACTATTATAAAATGGCAAGAAGCTTAATTTTGACGGTAGGGATGGGTTTTATTAAAAAAAAATTGTAAATGCTAATAACAAGTGAAATTCTCATTAAGTCCAACCCTACTTTCCCTTTGTTATATACAACAGCCGGGAAAGTAGTAAAACGTTTTTTCCCCCTCTATAATAACAACTGTATACCTACTTTTGTATCCCTCTGTATATAACCGTGTTACTGTACAAAATAATGCAATTAACTTATTACATATGTCTATTATTGTTATTTTGAGTAACGTTGTTATTGTTCTTATTGATAACATTAATAGGGAAAATTCCGGAATCCATTTGGAGCGAAAACACAACTCGTATCTTCCTGGTGAAAACACTACACGTTTCCACGTCGCCATCTGATTGCTAGCAAGTATTGTTAAACATAGTGGCACTCAGATGGACAAGAGAGAAAGGAAGACAAGGCTACAGCTCTGGATTCTGATCTATATATGCCCCATATATGTCATGGTCGAGCTACAATATGATCACTAAATTTTGATTATATAATCAAGAAAATCAATTTATGTAATTTCAAGCGTATTTGGGTAAGAAAAATAATAAGCCGAGATCCCTATGTCAAGAGATAGGACCAAGGATTCGTGATAGCTCTCCGGCTTCTGAACATATCGTTGAAAGCAGAATATTATTACATCTAATAAACATCATCTGTGATTATATATACTGGTAGTTGTACACCATCGGATAATAATTAGGCTGATGCTGGTTTGATTCTTATTAGATGGCACTTTAATGGACAGTTATCCAACTGTAAGCCGAGGTAATAAATTAACAATTTGTGCAAACAGGCTCAAATCCGGATTGGGGCTCAGAAATTTTCAAAAATGGGTTAATCCAGATATGTCGGACATTGTCCTTCCCGCGGTCACCTCCCCTCTTCTCCTGCTCATTAAAGGCATTAATAAATCCATGATGAGTAGTGGTTCGGTCAGGCACACATAAAGTATATTACGAAAAGAATTGCTTATTATATCTTTTATATATAAAAAAATTATTTAAAGATAGTTACCTCTAAAGAATCATAAGTAAAAGTTTGTATTGTAGTGGACGGAGCAAGCTGGGACCCGACAGCAGAACGGAATTTGCGGATGAACAAGAGAATTGTAATGAGATAAGGGGCAGTTGTTGTAGAGTGTAGATTGCTTGGATAGTAATATTTGTTACGTTACTGTGTCTGTTACTTCGTAGTCGTGTTTCGATTATTTACGAGATTGTACCCAAGAACTAAAACACTATAATTATACATCCAGTATTGGACAAAACGTATGAAGCCGTAGTGTTTTGTCCAATACCAAAGAGTCTATTTTAAGAAATGCATGATTAATTTTAAAACAATACACCGAAAATGCATTAACCCCATCACAGAAGCTTTGGTTTGGTTTGGTGAGATACGGCAACGCAACATTTGGGCAATCTGTTAAGATTGTGTCTCTCGAGAAAACTTTCTAAGGGAAACTAGCTCTGTTTAAGTATTAGACACATGAAGAAAACCCAGAAAACTCCACATTGCCAGCCCGTTGGTGAGGTGCGATGTTGACCAGTGTTCAATGGTGTTATCCATTTGGTTACTGGTGGGCATATCAAAGAAGAGAATGTTTGAACTGAGCATAACTTCATGTCAATTAGTCTAAAAATAAATAGATAGCAGTGCTATTATAACACAGATGGGTCGAGACATGGCACTGTACATTGCAGAACGATTCAAAGCTATTGGTACTGTAGCTCTCTAACAATGAAAACGATATCTATGGTAAATGCAGTGTTGTTGTTTAAGATAGTATCTCGTTACTCGGATACGTAGATTTCTATGTGCTTTCAAGTGGAACCATGGTTGCCAGTACTTATAGGATGAAGTTGCGAACACAACTGCCGTTATACAGGTGCAATAGGCCATAGATTAATTAGGTTAATTCTACGAAACAGTAATGCTCACCCACACTGAACTAGTCTGTTAGTTTACTATTTTGAAGGCGTGGGAATTGTATATATGGAGAGATCTCCAGATATTAACTACATAGAGCATATTGGGATGCTCTCAGAAGACGTGTTGCTGCCCTCAAACCCATTCCAAAATCTGCAGGTACTTGAAAATCTTTTGAAAAACAAGTCTTTGCTACCTACTGAGCTGCTAAACACCATCTATAGCATACAATGTCGCTTTGTGTGAAGTCTGCAATGCTGCAAGACGTAGTCACATTCCACATTTATATATTATGGCTATTTCATTTTCCTACATTACTTTTGATCCGGATCTGTGTGCACTATCGTTTGTAAGAAATGTTTTACTACACACAATGTTGCATTCGTCTCATGTATTTCGTGATTTATTGCAACTTTTCCCCTTGTTATAAACACCGATGTAGGTTATATTTTTTATAAAGGAATTAACAAAATAAACCAGAATTATATTATAGATAGGAAGTTAGAAACGGTGAATAATTATGTGAAGACATTAATTTAAAAATAGTTTTATTTAACATTTAAAAACTATTTCAATGTATTTATTTATAACAATTTGGCTTTTATTATTGTTTTTTTTCAATCTACGGATATTAAAAGGACTTTTTCCACCAAGTCTAAAGTGGTTGAACCAGATCCACAATGAGTGAGGGCATCCACGTGTTGACAAATCAATTCTTACAGGAAAATTTCTGAGAGGATACGGATCCGCATCTGGATCTCTAGAGAGGGTCTGATGTCCTCACATAAGAAAAAATTCCTTAATGAAACTGATCAGTGACTGAGTGAATAAAACTACAGAACACTGGTCGCGGGTTCGTCCCTAACCAATGGGCTACCACGTGGAGTTTCCCGGTTTTCTTTAAATGTCTAACACCTAAATAGGGGTCAGTTTCCCATAAAAATTGATTTGCTTCTGGGGAGATATCTCGTTTGCAGATTGCCGAAGTATCGTGTTGTCTTGTTCCACCAATCCAATTTAATCCAATCCATCGTTTGATGAATTATGTTGCATGTTTCCATGCGGAATTTAGGTCATCTAGAGTCAAATTTTTAAATAAAAATTACTTATAACTGAACCAAATATTACTTAATTGTCTGATTATTACTTCAAGAATCTTTAGAGAAATCAATAACGCAACAGAACGATATAACAGAATGTTTTTATTTTCGCGACTATTATCAATAATAAACAAGTCTTTAAAAGATCGCTTGTTTAAGATTGTTACTCCTCCAAATTCAAATAAAATAAAATTGATTAACATTTAAAATAAATAATCGAAATGAAGAAGATAGACATTTTTTTTTTTTGTAAAATAAAAATAATTAAGAAATTAAATTCGTGTTAATGTTATGCTTTAAACAGTTATAATGGAAGAGAATCATACATTCTATACGTGTGGATAGACAAACAAACGGACCCGAATATACATTAATAGATTTGTAATAGGTAAATAATGTTTAATGTTTAAATTAATAAATATTCTGTTCCAATTTTTATTAAAGGAACGAAGAAAAGTGATGGCTTAAATATATAATAACGTGTAAAGATGATTTCTCAATTAATTAGAAATAAATTTTAAGAAAAAAATGAATCATTATGAGTTTAAAAATTTGACATAAAGCATTCCAGAATAATTATTCGTAATAATCAATTTCCGATCATCGACAAGAGACGGAAATTATGAAAAAATAGGTAAACGTTCCTATCCACACATTTCAGATGGTGAGAGCTGTCACGCAGGTGCGTGGATTATAGCGTAACACAGCTCATTGGATCGAGACGCGAAGTCAACACTCCTTTGGAAACATCCGAGTGGCAGAAGTTCGATAGACGTCAAGACAAAACGTTGTTCTTTCTCATCGCCATGAGACCATACATCAAAGATCCGGATATCCACAGCATCAATACACTATGCGGCCTGTGTCAGGCATTTGCATATCGTTCTTCGGCACATGGCATCCCCAGGATTGCCAGTTCTCAAAACCGTTTCAGGAGATTCATGTGGATAATCGTGTTCTTGGTGGCTGTTGCCGGTTTCGCTTATCACAGCATATATTTAATTCTGACTTACTTATCTTACCCTCGGATGACTACTACCGAAGAGATACATGCCGATCAGATAGATTTCCCATATGTCACTGTTTGCAACTTGAATCCCTTGAAGAAGAGCTATTTCGCGGATTATCTAGCAGAAATATCTACTTCTACGCCGCGATCTACGGAAGATACGCAAAGCGACGACTTGCTAGAATTCTTAACGTCACCATCTTCCGACGATCATGGTGATTTTGGAGGGGGTGGGATATGTTTCCGCTCGGTTGAAGAGTTCCTTCAACGCAGTAGAACCATGGATCTTAGCGATATGTGGATGAGCGTCATAGCCACTAAGGAAAATCTAAGCAAGTTTGGTCATCAGTCCAAGGATTTAGTGGTCCAATGCACCTATAATGCTAGGAACTGCTTTAATACCAGGTAAACATTTTGAATTTTTTTTCTCTAACATTTGTCAATTTCTAGTATTTTGTAAATAATTCTATCCAAATTTCAGTTATTCCATCATTGACGTCGATAGTTATCCTTCTCCACGTTACGGGCTTTGCCATACAATTATTGTTAGACAAGAATCCCTCAGGAAAGTCATAAAGACTGGTTCGGCTTTAGGTGAGTAATTATCATATTAATTAAATTTAACCGGCTCTGAATTAAAAGTTCTCATTAGTTTATATATATATATAACTTTCTACAGTCTGTCTGTCAAGCCTTATATATAAAAGACGATTAATTATATGTAATTATATTTGATACTATTATATTTATACGCGTAAGAATATGTATATTTTCGTGTTCTTTCTCCATTCTAAAATAAATGTTTTTAGAAACGATCTGAATTACGTCGTGGCGCCGAGAACATTTTCGAAAATAAATAAAAAAAAAATACAAAAAGCTTTTTTACATTATATAATATATTCACGACCTTTCGAATATTGGGAGATATCCCGTTCATCTACATTTTTAAGGCCTTCGCTGTGTTAAAAAACAAAACAACGTTTAAAAAACCGTATTGTGTATTGTTTAATTAACGAATTTGGCAAAAGAAATGTAAAGGATGTTTCAATCCCCCATTTCTCCAAGGAACGTGTAATATAAATTGTACAGGATGGTCCAAAAGTTACCTAACGGAGATTAAGTCGAATATTATTTCAAGAACGATTTGAAATAATTGCATGTCATCACTCGTGACGTTAAAGTAATTCTTACAATATATCTTGTTTAACTGACTTTTAGACCAGCCTTTACTTTGAATTCGGCAGAGATTTTACGTGATTTAACGAGTGAAATGCAATTAATATGTTCCATTTGTACGTAAGAAAACTAGAGAAGAGACCTATAAGATTTTTAAAGCGCTAGAACATTTTAAAAAACGGCTGTGTACAACAAAGGGGGCTCAATGCCAGCTTTGTCTCTGCTGCTCTTATAATGAATGTCTGCATGATTTTTAAAAATATAACAATTTAATCCATAATCGTTGCGGCGAATTAAGACCACGCTGCGCGGCTCGCTTAATATATATAAACAATTGCAACGTTCAACAATAAATAATTTATAAAAATAAAAAATCATTTTTCTTAAATCTCACACCAAAATAATTCGAAAAATTTAATAATTTAAAGTGTAAAACACGTAAAAAACAGGATTGCGGGTGAGAGTCACAATAAGCAACCATTAAAACTATTCCCAATTATATTGTTAGTTTATTTTAACTCCAATAAAGCAAGAAAATTGTCAACGCGTAAAGAAGACATTTTCCTTTAATCCAATGACCAACTTTATAAAGTTTACTCCCTTAAGAGCTTTGAGAAACTAGATTTATTTCTATATTTGGCCACGCTCGTTTCATTTCAGCTTTCACACATAAAAGAAAATAAAGGTGAGAGAAACATATCTCATATCAAATTTTGAAAGATGACACCAGAAACTTTCTTATTTTTCTTTATATATAAAGAATTATATGGCCTCCTCCCTATCGAACAGAAAGAATTTTTCATAAATTGAACTGATTGATACGAATGGAAGATAACGAAGAGAGGACAATGACATATCTAGACATTTAAAGTTATAAAATATAAATTATACTCCCTTTTTTACCCTACGTATGTATTCTTTTATCGTTTATATAATGGTAATTTCAAGCATAATTGGTTGCAAAGATGCTGAGTACAATGAAGGCAAATCAATGTGATTATATGTTAAAAGAAGAGTAACGGGTGAGTGAATGACGTCGAAACCATTGAAAAGATAAAAAGAAATGAGCTTAACCTTGCATCGAGGGTCAATAAAGTCGGACACGTTAACAAACACTGAGTAATGCTCGATGTTAAACAACCATTTAGCCTATATAAAGGCGATCGATATAACGTGATTATTCTACTTTTGCCGTTCTTTATAGAATTATTTTAAGCTTACATCCATCGTAACTGTTTTAGTATTATTTATTTTCAATTTTTAACTATATATATCGATTAAAATTAAATAAAAATTATGGGTTTTTTTTCTTACTGAAAAGCACGAGATATTTTCAGAAAAATAATTCCGTTTGAATGGATGAAGAATAGAATCATTTTGAATCTAGAATCTACACTTAATTTGTCTAGAATCTAGAATTAGTTTATCTGTAATGTAGATCTAATTCATTTGGAAGTTTGAATTTATCTGGAATCTTCAAGTTATTGATTAAGTTATAATCATTCTAATTAAATTAATGATAATGAATTTTATGTGATGTTAAATATAATTGCACAAAATTAAAGAATTTTTAGACATTCTTGTTCTTTCTCTAACCCAAATAGTTTTTTTTTTTAATTATAGAAGAATTATAGAAAAATTTACTAATATTTTATAGTTAATTAATAGACCATAAATTAATTCTATATGTAATAAAACAATATTTTGAATATAAAAATATACTTGTTTCGTTCTAGTTAGGGCTTAAGTCGTTGTTATATAAGACAACTGACATTAAAAAAACCAAAGGATTAATATTGATTTATGGCATCTTAGGGATTGTTTTATCTCATTTCACTTGAAGAATCAGGAAGAAATTAAGTTTAGTAGCAATAAAATTGCTGCAGTATCCATTAAATATTATAGTTTAAAGCTTTTCCTGTAATATTTTTCTGAAAAAAATCAAAATTTTTGTTTTTCTTTTTTTTAAACCGCTTATATCTTATTAGATGTCATCTAATCTTAATAAATTATCAATTTATCACTATACAAAATTTTATAAATTGCTTCTAGATTAACTAACTAAATTAATTCTAAATTCCAGATAAATTACTTCTAGATTCTATATAAATTAATTATATATTCCAGATAAATTACTTCAAGATTCTATATAAATTAATTATATATTCCAGATAAATTACTTCAAGATTCTATATAAATTAATTATATATTCCAGATAAATTACTTCTAGATTCTATATAAATTAATTATATATTCCAGATAAATTAATTCTAGATTCTAAACAATTAATTCTAGATTCAAGATAAATTATTTCTAGATGAACTTGTTTAACAAAAAAAAAAAAAAAAAAGGAAAATTCTACAGAATTTATCCTAGTTTAAAATTGCTTTTAACTGATCAAAACTGTTCAAGGAGAGTTTTAACACTGGAAATTATGTGTGAGACAAACAATGTTTAGCTTCTTGCTTGTGAAATATTTAAATATCGATCGATAACAATTAATGCGCCTTAAAATAATAACTAAATATTATAAATAAACAGAGTTGAAATTAGTTTCTATCGAATGTTATACTTAAAATATTTTCTTTTGTTCTGTAAATCCTACACGTAGGAATTAGCCAATCCAACAATGTCGGTATGAATCATTGCTGCCAATAGAAATAAAGGGGGCCTGAGAGAGGTGATATGGGTCCCTAGCCAGTAACAAACAGTAGTTCAATCTTTGCTAAGTCACGAATAAAACAAATAAAAATAGATTTTTTACCACTTACCAAAATAAACTTCGATTTATATCAGCTTCGTGTCCTTTTTTTTACATAAAGAATTGATCTTGGGCCCCCTCTGTGTCCACATTCAAATGGCTCTATTGACATCTAACTGGATCTGGAAACAGACATTACTAATATATTACACAGAATATAAATACAGCATATAGAATTTATTTAAAATAAATTTCACTTCTTGAAGAAAGTTATAATTAGGATTTTTAAGGAAATATTCAGCAATTTTACGTTAATATTAAGAAGCAAAATTTGAAACAAAAAGTAGAAAATAAACTTTATGTTTATAAATTTTTTAAAAATAAATACAGTATATTAAGTATTCTATAATTATAGGATGATAATGTTTCTTAATCTTTTCTTCTGCCCACACTCCTTGAACTTTTAAAATGAGTTAAGGTCTAGATCAATTATTCCCAAAGTTAGTTTATCGCCCCTTGAGGGTGGAAAAAACACAATGGGATATTGGAAGAAAAGGGAGAATTTTGTCTCACTTGTCTTCCATAAGAACGAACAATATATATACGCACTAAAAGGGGATACTAGTCCGAAAAGTTTGGGATACACTGAACTAGATCATCTTGTTTCTTGTGTATATTTTATCCTGACTTTAAATACAGTTTAAGCTTTTAAAAATAAACATTCGTATACATCTGTTCATCGATATACAAACATTTAGATCTCGGTTAGGAACAGAAAAAACACGTAATTACATATTTAAATTTGATATTAGTACATTAATTAAAGTCAAAGTTCAATCGGAAAAAAAAAATTTATCTCCAGATAGAGTGTCGTAGAAATCCTACAACCTCAAGGATTGCTTCATTGGTGATTTGTTCATTCTCACAAGGCCTCGCACTTAAGGGGGCTTAATATGAGTCTCGAAAAGACTCTCATTTTCCACTCGACCCATCAAAATATGGAATCGGTTATGGGTGCGTGCACCTTAGATTAAGAGCCATTGTTGTAAGATAATAATATAGACGATAATAGGTTATGCACAGAAATTATTCATGAAATATTTATTTTATTTCTGTGTATATACGCCTGTAATTTTGATAAAATAAGAAGGAGATCAACGTCTTTATATCTCTCTCACATGACCAGTTTAATGATTTCTATGTTTATAACGAAAGAAAGCAAAAAATTAAATATAATTTCATCATTCAGCATTACATTTTAGAAACATAAACACTGTTTCTTTTCCAATTTAATGACCATTCTGCTATAATTCTCTTAATAATGAAATTTAAAAGGTATACATTAATTTAACAAGTAATTCTGCTATATTTCTTGTTGTTGTTCAAGCTATACAACATTTTATTATCATCTCTTTCTGATTATATATTTTTTTTCGTAAATTATTATCAATATAACATCTTTCTACTAGCAGTAGACAAACATTAAACAATCAGCATCGTTTCTTCTTCCATCAGAGAACGGATCGATGCAACTAGATCCACGTGGCACAATTACATATTTAAAATATATAATTGTGCCACGTGGATCTGTAAATGTATGTTTCCGGTAATCTAAAAAGTATTATTTTTTTTTCTTTACATCACCTGACAGATCTTTCCTTCGTGGAATTATCTAACACAGCACTTAGTTGATGCATTTATATACTGTATATACTTTTACATACAGTGTAGCAATTAAAATCACTTACCATAAGTAAAAATAAAACTTTAATAGCTATAAACACTACTTAATGTGGAAAAATTACATTTGTTGTGTTGAAAATTTAATCATTTTCTCTTGAGCCGATGCTTAAAATTGAAAATATTTCTCTTTTTTCGTCGTACTCCTCCTCATCATAAGGTTCTACGAACTGAACTGGATGATGGTAGACATCAATTCAGGGAGATATATGTGTTATCAGTATCCTCAACAGTAATAACTATAAAGTAACTACAGTATATAAATTACATAATCGTAATTAGATGCATAGACATGCTTGTATTTGTTAGTTTGTATATAAACAAATTAACAAACACAAGTTTAAGTTTCGACGGTTTATGTGTCCAAGTCAATTAATTGTGTTTTGTTTTGTATGTTTCAAATAGACTTGTGAATATGTAACATAAACTAAGTTTAGAACAACGTGTGATTGTTTTATCGTACAAAATTAGTGTAAACATGAATATATATACGTTAAATATATATAATTAAGCATGAATCATGAAAGTATTTGAATAAAACAACAATTAAGACGTTATAATGGTTAACCGATTTTTTATCAACCTGTATATACTTATAATTATAGACTCATTGATAAAATAAATAAATAAATACACCAACGAGTTGCTCAACGTTCCCGGCAACATTTAAAATTTTGATGGCGCCATCTGTTATCATATTTTATTTTAAAAGTTTTAATATTTTTTAACTATTATAAAATAGCGAAAAGCTTAATTTTGACGGTAGAGATGGGTTTTATAAATAAATAAAATTGTAAATGTTAATAACGAGTAAATTATTAAGTCCGACCCTACTGGAGATACGCACGGCCCCCTTTATCTCACCATTCCCTCGACCTTTAATCACCAAAATTTAATAGCATCAATCCCCATAATACTCAAACCTCCCTGCAAAATTTCAGAAATTTTCGACAAAAAGCACGGGAGTTATTAAGCTTTAAAGAGGGTGAACAAAATCGTACCCCCCACACACAAACATTATTATCTATGCGTACACAAATTACCCCCCGAATTTTTTTGCACTTCTTGACGTTTCAAAGTGTCCTGAGTCCAAAAATGTAAAAATTTTTTGGGGTGTCATTTATTGACCTATACTTTCCCTTTTTATAAATAACAGCCGGGAAGGTAAAATGTTATGCATCCTGATAGAGTTGTCTGTAAAACAGATATGTGAATGATTACGTTGTAGTCCAATTGCATGCCATGTAATTCCATCAGAGTGCCCCATAATCCTATAAAAAAGGCTCGCAAAGGCTTACTATCAGTATCGATGGTAGAATGAGGCGACTAGGAGACGGCATTTTCTCTAATAAATCCTACTTAAAAGTACTTTGAATATTTTATCATAAAAACAAAAGGTACGAGGCTGCTAAGGCGTAAGAGGTTGTAAATTGTGAAAGAGCAACAGTATAAGATTTTATTCCCGTTATTTCACTGTATTTTATATAGACTGGCAAAGCATTCGCAAAGCGATCAGGAGAGATGATCGTCTGATTGTTAAACAGGCATGAACAGCTGTAATGGATTCGTTCAGACAGATTGACATGCAACCAGCAGAGACAACTGCTTTGCATCTTGCCATTAGTACTCTGTTTTGGAATAGACGACCACCATGTCAGTGTGGACGAATACTGATGAATGCTTCAATCTCTTTCTTTGCTGTTTTGTAGTACAACTGCCTCCATTGCTGGCGTGCTGATCTGGGGAATCATCTCGTATGACAGTCGGTTATTCCTAGTAGAGGTACGAAAGACATTGACGGAACAGCGGGACGTTCAGAAAAATCCCGCACCTTCCTGTTGACTTTCGTGGTAGGGCTGCAAACAGCTACTTTCCAGGAAAACAATGCTCGGCTGCATACAGATAGATTCATCAGGAATGCCTCCCTCACATTGCCCCACTTTCTTCGTCTATCTGATCTCCAAATGCCAAATGCTCTATGCATTTGTGGGACAGATGGGACATCAGCAGGAGGTCATCGAGGAATCGAGATTTCTAGAGACTCCAGAACATATATATACCGGGTTGCTTCAACAAATCCCATACGCCATGGACGCCGGTTTTGGCTCTCTAAGAATGTGAGATATCTGGAGTGGCAGTTGAAATCTTTGCAGGTCAGCATGCTGTGCCTGTATGTCCGTCCAATCGTATCGCCGCACGTATCCAAGCAAGAGGTCCTGCAAGGTACTGAAGACCCTTTAAATTGTACAATTGCTTCACTGGAAATTGTTCCTTTAATATGCTATTGTAATTACTTAACACCATTGTCATTGTGTTCTCACTAATAAAGTTTAATTCGCCTCCTTCGTATAATTTTATTGTCAATGAGTGCATAATCAACTTTTTATCGTTAACAGGTTTGAGACTAACGCTAAACATTGAAAGAGAGGAGTATTTGGATCTGATATCACCCGAATACGGAGCTAGACTTCTAGTACATCCCCAAGGTACATTCCCGACATTACAAAGAGGAGGAGTTATTCTACAGCCAGGAACCAAGACCTATGTTAGCGTCAGAATGGTAAAGAATGTTCCACATACAAAAGTAATCATTAAAAAAAAGCACTTCTAAAGAAGGGGGTATATTTATTATATATTTATTTAGAGGAAGATAGAAAGACTTCCAGAACCTTACAGAGGATGCAGCGACGATTTTCAAAAGACACTACTTGCCAAATATTTAAAAATGACGGGGCAAGAATTTTTGTTACATCATCAAGTGTACACTTACGAGGTATTATTTTCGGAATTGTTTTAATTAACTTATTCCGTTTTATCACGTACGTTTCCGTGTAATTTTCAGTACTGTCAGACACTATGTCGAGAGGCCCACCTGCTAAATCAGTGCGGGTGTCTAGAAGAGTTGGCGCTAGAAGGAAATAAATCTTGCGACCCTTGCAATGGAACACAAGGTGAGTTGTTAGTAGAATATTTTTAATTAAAAAAAAAATCTTTGTAAGAATTTGCACTTTTCGTCGGACTGAAACAATCGATTATATTGTTAATATCCCATTAACGTGTTTTAGAAAATATTAACAATAAAACAAACAAGAAATTGAACTTACATAAAAGAAAAATAAAAGGGGAAAACAGGAAAGAAAACCTATCCCCCATTATAACGTGCGCTGCCCACTTAGTAAGTACATCGCCCACTTCCGTTTCTCTTTGTTGTAGTTATGGTGATGATCACGTGATCTCCTCTCTCTCCTCTCACTAAAGAAGTTCAAACTATTTCACTTTAAAATTAATTTTATTGTTTTTAAATCATTCCCGAAATATATTTGAAAGCTTACTTTTTGGATCGTAAATTCAAATTATTATAAGGCAAATTTTTATAAAGGAAATTTAAAAGTGCATTGTATGTATGTATAGGCTACATAGCCTTTAAGAGGTCGCGAGAAGCAGTGCCGGCCCGAGGCAAGTTTTAGGATGGAGCGAGATCCTATTACGGCGCCCCCCTTGGTTGCCCCTAATTTATACCCTTTAATTTTCTTTACCACTGAGCGCCCCCCTAAGGATTAGCGTCTGGAGCGGCTGCTCTGTTCGCCCTATGGTAGGGCCGGCTCTGGCGAGAAGCCAGGGACAATTAGATTTTTGAGAGACTCCGGTGTATCCGGTGTTATTGAGAGACTCCGGTGTATAGATTAAACATCTATAAACTTTCTTAAATAATAAAACCTTATAAAAATAAAGGTTTTTCTTAATATACAAGAAATGAAATGGAATGAATAGCTTTGAAGCCTGTGAGTGGACTATACTAGAAAGGTTGTTTTTCAAGCCTGCATTATTTAATGTAGCCTTTTGTGGCCAGCACTAAACAGCCTAAATGGGACCTCCCTAGTAATATGTCCCATTGTTGAAGGCTTCCCTGTATATATTTTTATTCATTAAGAAACTAGTGTAAGAATGATTATTATATCATAATGTTAGCAAATATCACTTCGGATTTCTTTGTTTTTTTCTCTATTTTTACAATTTGGTTAATGACTCAAAACCAGTTCTAAGAACGTTTCAATGGATAAAAACTGGGACATACTAGAATTTCTTATATGCATATTTCTAGTGCAATGTTCATATTTATTTAAATACCTTTGAGTAAATTCTTCCAAATCTTTCGCCCTTCTCTTACATTTTATAAAACAAGAGAGCCTCACAGAGGTGGAGAGAGAGGCCCGAGTCACGTATCTTTTTATGCTCCTAGCATAATAAAAAAAAAACATAATACAGCGTTAAAAAATTGTGTTACATTTCTTAAATAGTAAAATTTGAATACACAAGAAATGTAATGGATTGAATTACGTTCAATAAATGATTTTGTTAAGGATCTCTAGAGCAGTGTAATAGCCTTGGACTATGTCACAGAGGACTGCTAGTGTTCTATCCCTGTAAGAACTGTGACATCATTGAGCTGTATTGGGCTGTGTGACATCATTGTAATTGTAAGAACCCAGAGGTGTACAATCGAATTAATGGTGGGTAGCAGATTTATTTTTTAAAATATTCTAGTGAGTGTGAATCTTTTTCAATATTTATCATTGCATTTTTTTTTTGTCAAATCCATTGGGCAGCCCTGGCTTAGAAATATAATTTGAAATAGCTTTAAGGTCGTAAATTATTGGTTATATAACTTAGAATACGTCATTTTGAACCCCGTATAGAATCAATTTGGATCAATTCTGAATCGATTATGTAAACTAATTCGAACCTTAATGCATGTTAAGAGATTTTTCCAATCGATTTTTGCGGATTATATTTCCAGAACTATCAAAATTCTAGAAGTTCCATCAAAACCATTGAATTTTACGTATGTTTTTCGGTAAATTATACATTTTTAACAGAGAATTTCGCTTCTATTTTTAAAGCAGTTTCACATAAAACATTTTATATAAAAAGATTTACATCAACTGACAAAATAAGAATGCTGTATAATACATTTCAAGTGTAAATTATAAAGCAGAAAATACAAAGAAAAATATTTTCTGATAAACTGAAAGCATAAACGTCAGACTTTAATCGATACACAGGCCGATTTAGGTCAATACAAAGTGAAACATTGAGGAAGGTCAAAGGTTCTGACGGGAAATTAAATTAATGAAAACAGAAACAAAGTATTAAGTAGGGGTTAGAAAATAATGAAACTAGTAGAAATTAACTTATAGTTTATATGATTACATTAGATTAAGAAACAGAAAGTACTAGTGATATTTGTGTAAATGTGTACCATCAGAAGAAATAATAATAATAATAAATAAATGAACGAGAAGAAATGTAGATAATTTTCATTATGATGCAATTATTAATAAATTTTATATTCGAAAAATCGTTTAAACGTTGTTAAAGTTCAAATCCAGGAGTGAGTATCTCGCACAAACACACACATATAATATTGATACATTTATGATTGTGTATACATATGCAGTAATATAACAGAATATACGAGTGTGTATAGGCTCTGTACACACACACATACACCTGTACACACTGATAAGATATATTCTGTTCTGTAACATGTTCTATAATATTATTACGTTAACTATGGGGCGAAGATGCATACGGGATACGTTTATTTCTTATTTCAGATTTTACTGCTTATTTGTAAAAAAAATAAAAATATAAAAAATTATTTCTCCTGTTGTTACTTATTAACGTGACAAAAACTTATTTTTTCCCTTCATATATGTCGAGAAACAGCTTTAAAAACAGAACACAACGAAAAATTTGCCACCTGTGTTCAGTAATACCACGTTCACCACATGTCTTTTATCAAGTTATTTTATTTCATTCAATTTTTTAAAATATATATCATTCAGGACAGGAATTCGTTTTGTTGCATCACTGAGTTATAAGGCCTTCACTAAATAATAATAAATTTAAAAGTGCGAGGCCCTAAGCTTGTTTTAGCTGATGTATAAATCCGGTTCTATATATCATCGAGTAAATCATCTAAACAAATTACTTTGTAGCCTATAATTCACTAGTTGAAACATTTTTACTTGTCATTTTTAACTTAAGAAATTATATAGTATATATATATATTTTAGGATGATGTTTTAACTACTTATCCATATTTTCTCTTTAATTTATTGCTTGAAGTATGGCAGATATTCACGCCTATCGAAGAACTTGTATAATTATGTGTTTATATTTAGGTCATAAGCATAAACGTACAGTACTTTATTATTTCATTTATTCAACATATTTTAAGTATAAATATACATATTTTGAAGCTTTATGCAAATGTATGTAATCGTTAATCATTTATTTATTAAATAATGCAATAATAATAATTTAATTAAAAATTTAAATATGAAAATTAGACTAATTATCTTCGATTAAATTAATTAATGTATGAGTTAATTATAAAATTACTATCTAACAGTTTTAATTAAGATCAATTTTGTTTAAATGTTATTTTTCGTCACTTTAGAATAATTATGATAAGTATGAAAAGATTCTGCTTACGTTTAAATCCTTTTTTCGTAACTTGACTGATAAAACAGAAGTGGAAAAGTAAAAATAACGGAAATTTTTTTTAATTATTAAGTAAAAAAACATATTATTAGTTTAAGAGTAATGTTTAAAATATTTAAAATAATTATAAATAAACATTAATGCATACATACATCTATATTCAGCACACTTACATAAACTACAATACATAAGACACACACATATAAAGTCTATGTACACATATAAAAACACACAGTGATGTATCATCGTAACGAAGACACCAGAAATAGGTGTGTACACAATACTACCTTTATAGATAAATCTAGTAAGACTTGTACACATGTAAAGAAAGTTTGATTTATTTATCTTTATGTGATCACATTAAGCAATTATCACAAGTTTTATTTATGTATTTACAATAAAATTTTTGGTTTAGAGTGAATTTGGCCCCTCTTCGCTTCCTTGAGTAAGCTTAAACACACACATACTATTATTATTTTCAAATTTTTAATTACTTTTTGAGATTTACGCAAAAGATTTAATATTTTTTCTTCTATGTTTTTCCATAATTAAAGCTGTCTACCTACCTTTGCACCCCTTGTATAAGAACTTAAATGGTCTTAGAGAGATGCAAGATGAAATGGAATCTGAATCGATCATAAATGTATGCATTTATGATCATAAATGCATACATTTATGATCGATTCCTATCGTTACTATATGATATCCAAAAGCAGGGCACGTCCTCCAAAATGAGAATGTGTCTTCCTTTTGTAAATTTACAGAGGACATGTTCTCCATTTCAACATTAAAAAATGCCCCCCCCTCTATTCAAACACACCCGTAATGACGTCCTTTATTTCAGCTAAATTGTCCTTGTCCTTTATTGAAACCAGAACTAGCAAAATTTGTCCTTTATTTTCGTTTTTCAATCTCCGTATTTCGTAATGATAGTGTTGGATTTTTGCACAGGCGTATCCTTATATAACAATCCACATCCTTCCCCATAGAAATTTATGGTTCACCTTTAAATATTTTATGTTCTAAATTAAACTAAAATTTGAAAATTTATTTATATTCAACAAGAAAATTAAAATTTTAAAATCAAAACCTTAAAAAAATGTAAACAGAATGTAGGCGATATGCTGAGGTGATGCCTTTAAGGACTGGATCCTATTTAGGTGTTACGAAGACGAAGAAAATTCGGAAAACTCCACATGAGACCAGTGTTGTGGTAAAAATCTACTTGGTTAATGGTTGACTTAATCATTTTTAAGTGTCCTTCTATCCAGGCAACACTACTCTAAACAGAACAATTTGTACTGCATTCATAATTTATAATGTAGCAAAGCTAGCTAATTTATCATGTGGCAAAGCTTTAAAAATATATAAATAAAATAAAAACAAA